CTTAATCATTCAGGCTGAGAGTGTGTGCACTACCTGACTGTATAATGAGTGGCTAGTCTTCAGAGGGGTCCAATTGATTTGTTTTAAGCAAAAATATTTTGATTTCCAAAACAGCAACTGGTAAATTGTGGATAAGTAAATGTAATAATTTGTAGAAAACTCTTGAGTCCCGTCATGCAAACACTTACTGGCAGGGAGTGCACACATTAGTGTAAAGAATTCTCATAAAGTTAATGAGATTCTGTATGGTAATAACAGTGTCCGTAGTCATCAAGTTTGCAATTACAAATGTAATTACTTATTCCATTGAGTTCAATTAATTTAAACATTTGTATGCAATATTTACAACTTGTATCTAAATGTCAGAAGTCTAAACTAGATTAACAAATCAATTAAGACACAATGGTGAAAGCTTTAGGAGGAGTAAGTTAGACAAAACAAAAATTTTTAGGGATGTGGGTGTTATTTAAAGAGAAAGGGAGTGTAAGTGAGCTGAGTTGAGTGTGTTGCAGCTTTGTTTATTAAACTTAGCTTTTGTCTGGATGTGTAAAATTTCAGTCAGCTTTTGCAAGACATTTCCAAAGAGAAGCACAGCACCAGAGGGGTTAAAAACATTTTTCACTATTATTTTAATGGAGTTTATAATATGAAATGGAATCATTTTGGGGAGAGTGTGAAGCATTCACTTTATCCAATTGACTTCATTATCTTTCTTCAGCATCCTCATCTGTTGTGCTGGTGGAATGCTTATTGCTTGAATGGCTCCCAGCCTTCCAGATACTCTTGCATACTAAGGACTTACTATTAAAAGATAATATATTTTCATTATTCCTTCTGGTTTTATAGCAAGAATAAATCAAAGTAACGAATACTATAAGAACAAAAATGCAGTAAGAAGCAGGTTGGGAATTGGGGACCGTGAATCAAGATTTATATTACTGAAATGGGGGTCTGTGTAGAGTATATAGAAAGTCAGTTTCTGCTTAAGAATCTGTGTGCTCAATCTTGACTGATCATAGCTATATTGATAAATATTCTTTTGGAACAGTGTCAGATGTAATTCCTCCATGCTCTAGGCTTAAACTACAACATCTTGTTTTGTACTTTGTAGTCAAAAATTAGTTGTTACTTTTTCACTTAATTTTAATTTAGGTGCTATCTTGGAGCTGTGTGGGCAGCTACCATTCATTTTAGCAAACAAGCAAAAAGTATCTGTCGCTTTCCTGTCTCAAAGATATTTGTGAACATTGATCAAGTAGTTTGGAAAATATGTTGGAAAAGAGACATGGAATAGTTGTGGGACAGGAAAGAGAAATATATAAGGAAACCATGTACAACAGTGAACTTGAGTGAGTATGAAATGGGTGAACTATCAGAAATCATTAAAAAGAAAAGTTATCGTGAATTAATCTGCATTAGAGTGACTGTCAGCATAGAAAGATGAAATGATTCTGAAAGTAAACTGTGACTGTTTCTAGATATTTCCAAAAGGCCAAATGATTAGCAGAAATAACATATTTCCTAGGTTTCAAAGACTTGTTAGGAAACTGAGATTATGCAAAATGGGACAAAAAAAGAATGGTAATGAACAAGTAGAAAGATGAACACTTAGAGGAACATTTTAGAAAGCCATGAAGGTTAAAACAAACATACAGTAACACAGAAGGCACTGAAGAAATCAATAATATAGGAATATGTCCTGCAGTGGTATTACCAGTAGTTTGACAGTACTGGTAACAGCAGTTTCAAAGGACTTTAGGACTTGGCATTGCAGTCCCCAAAACTATTGTGTAAATGCATTGGTACATGCATTTTCTGTGTTTGAAAATACTGCAAATTATGTTAGATGAAAGTTAACACCCTAAATATAAAAGACAGCAGGTTCTATTAAAAGGAATTATTCATTTGGTTCAGCGGTGAACTATTTGCCTAAGAGGCCTAGATATATTTGAACAACTTCTCTGTACAGAACATTAATTTCTGTAAAGTGCAGAAGCACATCTGATGCCTGATTTTAATTTGTGACCATAGGATTCATTCCTTGAAGTTATGCTGAATGTTGAAGAAATATAGTAGGTCAGTCAAAGTGTCTGTTTAATTAAAGAAATCTAATAAAGTACATAACTTCTTAAACTTGAGAGAGGAATATTTGTTTATCTACATATTTTTTGATTTTGCTAACATATGTCTAGCAAACAATGCTTCACTTGACTACTGAAGAATGGCAGTTATATTTCTGTGATTTTTTTTTCCTGTTTAGAAAACTAAAAGTAGTTTGCTTGTAATAAATATGCAACGGTGTTCTCTGTCTAGCCCCATCGCAACCTTATTTTTCCATAATTTAAATGTTAAAACAGGTCTCTATTTTTTAGCCATAGCATCTTTGACGATCAGTTTTACTTCTGATACAAATTGCAGAGATAAAATGGTTGATATTTTAGATCCCACCAATTAAGGCTATGCTAATTTTTGGATTAGGATCAACTCTGATTACATTAGGAGGCCTCCAAACTGACTGTTGCAGTTAACGCTAAATTACTTAATTATTTTTATCCTCTTTTTTTACCACCACCACCACCACCAAAATCCATTATGGTGTTTAGAGTATATTGGTCTACAAGGGCTTAAAGAGAAGTTCTGCAGTAGGGGTAATATCCTGTTCCAATTTTGTTCACGGAAACTAAGGCAGTAATTAATTTATTAAATTTGAACTTGATCCGGAACAGGGTAGCCACATTGCCTTTTGGAAGGCATTCTGGCTCAGGCTGTCTCCCAGATCTGTCCAGGAATTGCATGGGGTAGAGCTAACTAGTAGGAGCCAAAACTGTGTGAGGAACCATTTCATGTTTAGACAGCAGTAGGGATGGTGGAGGGCCAGCATGCAGGGTCACTCTCTGGCATGTTACACCACTCGCATAGTCGTAGCTCTTAGGTCCCTGGGAGACTTACCATCTGAAATGCCTTGTTCAGTGCAGAATTTTCATTCAAAGGCCTGGAAGAATATAATCATAATAATTCAGTTTTTTCAAAATGAATGAAATCTTTATGGAATATTTATAAAGTCATTTGGTTTAAATTTAATAACCCTCTAAAATACAAAATAAGGGTATTGAGTGCACTATTTGAAATAATTTACTAACATTTAAATGTCAGCCATTGTAAAAAATCAAGATTGATATATTCAAATGATGAAATCGTTCTTACTCTCTAATGTCATAGTAATTTTGAATACCACTTCCTAATCTTAATTTCATACAAATATGAAATTCTAACATTTTGGAAAGCCCTGAAGTAGCAAATAGTATACATGTATCATGTAGTAAATTAGCTTTAGAAAAAGCTTATTTTTTTCCAGCATGAGCAAAGTTGTACAGTACACAACTGCAGAACATCCATTCCAGTTAAGGAAATCACAGTCCTGCCATCCTTCTAGCATGCTCAGTCCTTCAACTCCTGTTCACAAGTTGCTCAGCAATTTTCCTCTCATTTTGAAAAGATCTTTGCTGCTTTGGGATTACTTCTTTGAGTCAGTGCTTCTGCTGTCATAGGTTCTAAGTATAGTTTTTAGAACTCTGTGTATTTTAAAAAAGTTTGCCTATATTCAGAATTGATAGATTTTAAATGCTTTTAACAGTCATTCCACATACACTGTGATATGTGCCTTTGTCAGTTTAAGCTATACTTGACATAACCAGTTTCTTTCACAGCACAAATTCAGAGATACACCTGGGAGATTTATCCCATTGACTTCGGTAAATTAAGAATTTAATCACGTAATTTTTAGCAATTTCTCACTTTTCCTCTTATTTCACTGTTTCAGTCACCTGAGCCCAAGCAGTAAAAGTGCCTTTTTTGCTGTTATGTAGTGATCAGTCACAGATGTAAATCCAGATTATTCCTCATTTAAAGCCCTTTACTGCATAAAGCATGGTTGATACTAACTTTTGGTTCACTTTCTTACGATACGTTCTTATTTGACTCTTTCTTTTATAATGCTGTGAAGAAGGATAAGCTGCTTTGGTTGATTTTGCTGTCATTTGCACGCAGTCTTTTGCAACAGAGGCTGTGTGAAGCCTTTCTTGCCCTCAGAGGAGCTGCTGCCTGAAAAGGGGCTCTCAGGGAATCACCCACCAGCAAAGTATGACACCGTGCTCCCATCCACACGCGGTGTTGTGGATCACACCATCTCCCTGCCATGCTCCTGTGCCATGAACTGCACAGAGAGAGGAACACTTGCCTAGATGTGCTTTGCAGCAGATCAAAGGCTTGACTCTCAGATTGGTCATTTAATTAAAAATCTGTATTCTGTTGTTTATGTGCTTACAATGATAGAGTTTTCATAAGCTACTGGCAGACAGCGAGTGTCACTAAATACCACTGCTTATGGGTGTGACAGTTTGTTTACTTACTACTAAAATGGAAGCCATGTTTCAGGTCACCCGTACTACAACCCAAAGAGGAGGGGACCCCATCAGCTCAGTGCATTCTGTAAAACCAACACAAGTACTCAAAACAAGCCTCATCTAAGCTTTATTTGTTTAGATGCTGATCCTTACACAAAAGTGCTTTTGCATCGTGACTGTAGTTAGGCACAGTTTTAGGGAGGTAACAACCATACTTTGTACTTCCGCTGTGAAGAGCCAGAACACTTTCTAGTGGTTTATAAAGAAGTTAATAACAAATGTATAAATCTGTATCAAAAAATGTCACAATTTATATTACCTTCAAATGCTTATAAATATAACATAGGTCATTTTCCTGGAGCAACTATGCAAAATTATACCAAGATTACTAAAGTAATTGTTGCTAGCTTTTTAGTTCAAGTACTTCAGCTCATGTCTTAAAGATGGAGTATATTGTTCTCATTTGTATCAGCATCCGTCTGATGTAATTCTTTTCGCAATAACAGTATCATTTGAGCTTTATTTTTATCTAAACAAAATTTGACTGACATTTTGCAAGTAAAAAATTAATCTTAGATATCTCCTAATCTGTTACAGGTCAATGCACAAACTGACTCAACTGGAGAGACTTGATCTGGGCAATAATGAATTCTCTGAGCTGGTAAGAAGTGCGCCATTTTTTAACAGAAAGTCTGTGTGCTTTGGATGCTCTGTGTATGGGGCATTAAACTTTTTCTTAAAAGGCATTATTGTATTATGGCCACATGCCACGGTCACATTTCCTTGTAGAATAGAAGATTGATCATAGTTCATGAGGTGAATGTTGATAATACAACATGCTTCATCTACATCAGGCTTCTGTGATTCAGATCAAGATCACAGGTGATTCTCACTCTCAGCTGGTTGCTACTGCTGGAATACTTCAATGTGGGATGAATTGTTGATCTCAGTATAAATACTTGCATCAACTATGTATTAATTTCTTAATATCTATCATTATATCCTGCAAATGTTAGCAATTGGTATTAACAGAAGTAAATTTTGGACTCCAGAAGTGGCTTCTGTCCCTAGCTCACCTCTAAGATGAGAATTAGGTTCCCTGAGGTTTAATAGCTTTTGGGAATTTTCTCTAGTATCAGTATAGAAAATAATCAAGTTGCTGTTCCCTTTAGGTATGTTTCTACTACATCTATAGGAATTGACACTTCTCAGAAACAATATGAGGGTGTTTAAACTGTGTTTTAAATTTAGCTTGTTTTTAAGGAGAGCTCACTGACTTCATCCTGCAGGAACTGTAAATACGTCAAGAGAAGCAAAACTTAGAAAAACTGCTGCCTCATCCTTTTTGAGACCTATCACTGCTAGGGCAATTTGGGAGGCCCTGTGTGTTTGCAGGACAACAATTTAATACTGTGACACTCACTGTTGCACTGGTGGCGAAATAAATGTCTGCGTGTGCCTTATCCACCAACAGCCTGTCCAGTGACTGTTAAACCCTGTGAGCTGAACCACCTTTCCTCCAGAGTCATAGAAGAACAATCTGTAAAAATAGTGCTGCTGAATCAGGGCTTACAATTTTATGAGGGTGATATTTTCTGTAGCTTTAATTAAAATTAAGATAATTTCACTTTAAACAAATTGTGAAATGTCATCTAGTAGGAGAAAGATGTAGCAAAGAGTCTACAACTGGTTTATAGACGGTGCGCTATCTTCTACCATTATGGTTATAATCCTGTTAATGTTTACTGATTTATACTGCTGTGTAGGAGAAAATAGATGGTTTTAACTCAGATTTTTAATTAAACCTAGAAATCTTTTGCATAGATAAATAGAATAAAATTTTCAGAAGTGGTATTTGGAATTTTGATCAAAAGAAATATATATATATATATATATATATGCTTCCTGAATTCAGAGTGTGTCTTTTTGGGGGGTGAGTTGGGGGTGGTTTGATTTTGTAGTCTTTGTTTTAAATGACTTCAACATCATTCTGCGTTTTTGCATTGTAGCATACTGTCCCCCAAGAACGATAAATCAGGAATCCAGTGGTCCCATACTGCTATTAGGACCAGACTCCCAGCATTGACTAATTTTTCAGGAAGCTGGTCCAAAAATGTATGAACTAGAATCAAATGCCAGAAGCAAAATGGGTGAAAAGGCAAGGGAACAGCATGAATCTGCAGACATGTCATAGGAAAAGTGGTACTAGTTTAAATCAAGATCTCCTGGAAAAAAGGATCGAAAGGTCCTCTTTTCATGGATTCTGAAAATCTGATTTGGGTTGCTTCTTGCTGGGGAAAAATACTGCCTAGAACTGTGGTGGTGTGGAAGAGCTTAATTTCTTTGACAGTCCATCCCTGGACTATTGAAGTCCCTCCCTTTGCACTGGGAGACTGTGCTCTTCATACAGACAATCTGGAGCAATAGGCATGGGGTTGAGAATAAAGGCAGTTGCAAAAATGAAGTAATTCTGTTCATTCATTTTCTGGAAACAAGATTGTACAAATCATGACATAGGTATGTGCCTAAAATAGAAATTGTCACGTCTTAAATAGCAGCCATATTCAGGTGACTTAATGTAATCAAGGAAGGGAATAGGTAATCTGTGTCACGGGTCTCCAGGAAAACTGGAGCATTAAATCACAAGGTATGGATCAAGGATTTGAAATCTCTCCATCTTTGAAGTGTCAAAAAATGGCACTGGACAAGTGAGCAGCAGCAATTGTAGTACCTTTGCCTGAAAGGAGGGGGAAGGCTGGTGTAGTTCTTTCCAGAGTTTCAGGACTCCACTGTCAGCAGCAAGGCTTTAGAAGAAATTTTGAAAGGAAATAGTTAAAGGTAGGGAGAGAAGGAAAAGGAAAAGGAAGAGGATAAAATGTAATATACTTTTACTGAAGATTAATGTCAGTCTTCGATTCAGACTTGATACTAGGAAACATTTCTTTACCGAGAGGGTGGTCGAACAGGCTTCCTGGAGAGGTGGTCGATGCCCCAAGCCTGTCAGTGTTTAAGAGGCATTTAGTATTCTATTCTATTCTATTCTATTCTATTCTATTCTATTCTATTCTATTCTAATTGTGGCAATCTATGTGGAAAATGAAATTATTCTCCAAAAATGTGTCAGCAGAAGCATTTCTAACAGAGACAAATAATAAGTTTTTGATACCACTTATCAAAACATTTGTGAGATCTCATCTGAATTATGGTATACCATACTCCATACTCAAGAAATTTCAAATCAAACTGTAATATGTACAACATAGGAGTAGGCTGTTGCCTTTGAGAAGGGCGTCTGTCTAATGAGAGGAATTTAAAAGAAAATTAAAGTTGAGAGGGGAAATTATGATTATCTATAATAACCTTAGTCAGTGAACACTCTGGAGGAATAAAGAACCATTAATCATTACAGGAACAAATAGTGTAAAATGACCATTAATTAATTTAGCCTGGAAATTAGAAGTGGTTTTAACCACTGAAGGACAACAAAATTTCAATAGAATTAGCCAAGGCAAAATAAATTACCTTCAAAATATTGACTAATCATTTTTTAATAGAAACGCATTATGTGACAACATGGAAAACTGAGAGATTGAGCTCTCCAGATTAGCAGGTTCTTTCTTATCCAATGATGCATCCAGGAGCTTCTCCCGTAACGTACTATGTGACCTGGGCAACTGGGAAATCGTATTTCTTATGGGAATTACAACATTCCAAGGAACTTAGACCACAGGAGATAATTAGAGATCTCTCTTAAGGTCCTGTGATGCTAGACAGATACATTTGTTTCTAGCTGTGTTGAAATAATTCCAGTGAAATAGTACTACAGACTTTTAAAATGCTGGAATCTGATTTAGTCAGAACCAAATGAAATGTTTAATATCAGTTTCTGGCAGACTTTGAAAAAAATGTCTACAACTTTACAGAGCTAAGGCAAATTGAAGTCTTGTTTTACCTGTGAAAATAGTCTTTCATGAAAAAGAAAAATACTGCTTAGGCTGAAACATGGAAATATTTGAGACCTGATAATTCTTGATTTTCACAGCTGTAATGAATGAGAAATGATTTGGGGAATTGCCTTTTTCAGTTTCACTAGTATCCTGTAGTGTTGAAAAGAATAGAACATCTTAGATTAAAGCTTACTATTGTGATTTTAAGGCTTGATCATTGCACTCCACTATTTTAACTACTGTATATGACAATTGCAGACATTAAATCATACATAAATGCAGTATATCCAGGAAAGTGTTCAGCAATATGCCTCTGTTAAGCTATTTTTAAGACAGAGTTTAGCATGTGCTGCAAGATGAGATTTGGTCTTTCTTTTCAGTGCATTGTTTCTGAAGCTCCACAATTCTCACTTCTCTTATTTGCCTTGTTCACCAATTGCATACTGCCAGTGAACTGTTTAGAACAAGAACTTCTAAGGAGTTATTTGTATTAATGTCCAAAGGGTTCTTAAATTTTACAAGGTTTGAAAAAGAGCAACAGTGGTTAAATTAAATGAAATGAGCATACTGTTCATGTCATTAACTATCTGAAAGTCTGATGCGGGTTATAAAAAGAAAAAAAGGTGAAGAGGGAATCTTTTTTTTGATAAAATATTGATTTATATTTAACTACAAAAAAATACTGATTTATTTAACTGTCCATAATACTATATTCTTTTCCTCAGCCTGAGGTTCTCGAACAAATACAAAATCTAAAGGAATTGTGGATGGACAATAATTCTTTGCAAATACTACCTGGGGTATGAACATTTATTTTATGTAATCAAAATTACTGTGTGATATAGTGAACTATTTACCTTGCAGTAAATAAATGTGCATTTTCTTGAATGAGTACATATTCCTAGTTTATATAGTCATTAATTATTATCAAGAAATAAAAGCTGCAGCATAGCCATTCATATGAAAACCTTTTAAATGTTGTGTTATCACATGATAGTGTCTAAATGGGGATGTGCCTGTTTTATTTAAGCGTTGCGTAGTTTTCATTGTGAGAGGAAATTATTTCCTATTGTCTTCTCAGTCACCATGCATTAACTAGCAGTTTTATAAAAACCCACGTGAGTTTTAAAAAGGAAGAGGAAATATTAAATAATCTAAATAAACTTAAAAATAGCAGATGGTATGTACAGATTCAACTATACTAAAAGCAATTCTGAGGCAGCGAAATGAAGATATATTCCTCTAGAAAGCACTCCATTTAGAAATGGAACAAAAAATATTTTAAAATCTAAACATTAGGATCATGGTTATGTATTAGTGCTGTTTCTGAGTTGTTGCTACCCCACAGTAGAACTTTAATTTTCAATTTTTATTGCCATAAATTATTTGAGATTGTCACTCTAAAATACCTACACTGGTTATGATGTGAGAAAGTGGATCCCCATCATTAGCATTTTATCACACAGGTGACAGATCGTATGTTTCACACAATAATGCTCTTCATTGCTGCAGAGAAAATTTAGAACTAGATCTAGCACAAACTTGTCTAGATGTTGGAAGAAGAAGAGTAAGTACTTCCTCTTTCAGCTTTGAACATTCATTAGTCAAAATTCAATTTTTTGCATTGAGCAATGACTGATTTTTGTCTTAAATGGATTACATTCATTTTTTATTTTGTGTTAAGCATGATGTTTGCACAGAAAATGGTCATTTTCAGTCCCTGTCCAAATATCCACTTTTTGAGTGCTTTGTTAGTGAAAAGAACCACTAACAAGTGGTTGAAACCACTTCTTGATACTGAAACCAGCTGGAGATCAGGAACAGAAATATTGCAGTATTGTTGCTGCAGTGTAACTGAGTAGAAGAAGTATCAGATATACAAGAGAATGTGGGCACAAACACTTTAACCATTACTCTGTTTCTTTTCTGTTCACAATTAAATTGGTTAATATATCCAGTGCTAAAATATGTTCCAAACACAGTCCTCCTCATAATCCCTGGAGAGGGTATTTAGAGTTGAAGATGTTCAATAGATCGTGGAACTGAATCCCAAGGAGCGTAATTATTTTCAGTGAATAATTCATGTTTCCTGACTCTGATTATAGTAGAACCTAGATGATGTTTTGTGAAAGTCTTCTCCAAAACAAGAGGTTTAAAACAGTTAAGATTAGCTTTACATTTTGACTTTTAAAAATAGAAAGGAAATACCAACTGGTAATTGATTTTAAGATTTAGAGATTTGCCAGGTTTCCAATGTTAATAATTCAGTTTTTAAAAAAGTAGTCTGTGCTAGAAACAAAGATTGTATTCAACTATTAATATGGGTAGAGTGGCAAAGGTTGGGGTGAAAGGGAGATTTCCCCATTATACAACAACTCAGATATGATTAAAGATAACATGAAACTGCCTCCTTAGAAGCAGAGAGCAGATCTCAGCAAGGTAAGAGATGAAAAGCAAGCTATATTCATATTCTTTCGAAAGTATGTGTAGATGAAGCTGTCTAAAACTATTTTCCTTTTTCATGTGTACAGTAAATGACCACTAAAAGTATATGTAAATAACTAAAAACCCCATTCCCATGAACTTTTATAGAATCCATACACTTCACAAGCGATTCCCATGGCTTTCCCAAAATCCATAAAGGAAGTTCCCACATAGGCCATGAATGTTTATTGGTTTGGTTTGAAACAGTATTTCTGTGGATGCACAGTATTGCAACCACATGGTAGATCTCCATAACAGTATTGTGCTGCCTTGTCTCACTCCTGCTGTGTAATCCTCCAGTCTGTATCATAGCTCTGCCACTGGGTCATAGATCCAGGTCGTTTACTCTAGACCCAGCAGTGATACCTCTTTGCTGTTCCACTTGTAGGTTTTAGTTTAAGGAAAATAACAGCATCTTTTTTGTGGATTTTCTTGGTGAAATTTCATGTCTAGAATGAAGTGACCTTCTTGTGATAACGGATCAAGAAGCAGGTTGCTTCTACAGGCTTCAAACGCTTACACGCTACGCAGATTTTCCAAGGAATTAGGGAAGAATTCCTATCGTGTTGCTCATTGATGTTATAGCTGCAGTTAAGCGCTGTATTCACAAAAGTGTACTATTGGGATTAACTGCTCATAATTGAACTATGAATATCTAAAGTCTTAATGTTAGATTTTATAAAATTCAGAGAATCAGTTTGACACAGAAAAGCTTTACCTGCATGTCTAGCCTCAGTGACCTTAAGGACTGCCGTTATGAGTAGATGTGAATTGTGAGTAAATGTCCCTTGGATCTGTGTCCAGCTGAAGAAATAATACAGCTGTATGACTGAGAACTCAAACTTTCAGCAGATTTAATGAATCTGGAACACATTAATTAGCTTGGTATGAGTAATTTAGTTTGCTACAGTTCCTTTTGCAGTTACCTGAAGAGGAAGGCTATTAGACCACTACTGATATTGCTTCAGTGAAATAATGCTTGTAAAAAGGATGCTGAGATAACTGAATATAAGCCTGTATTACTATTGTTTGTCTTTAATTAAACTTAGAAACTGGCGTGCAGTATATATCTGTTCAAGTAACACTTTGTAACATGCTATTAAGTCTATAGGGAAGTTAAAACAGCTCGTGTACCTGGATGTGTCAAAAAACAGGATAGAAACTGTTGATTTGGACATATCAGGATGTGAAGGACTTGAAGATCTCCTGTTGTCATCCAATATGTTGCAGCAATTGCCAGACTCCATAGGTGAGAAAAGCTCAGGATTTCTTGTAATCTTTTACAGTTGAGGATTTCATTTATATCTTTTTTTGGTTATGATGAGACTTTATAATAGCTGGAACAAGACCTGCCATTAAATTCCAAAGGACTTTGAAACACCTGTGACTGGACAGTCCATGAAGACCATTTTGTAAAGTCAGGAAAAAAAATCCATGGTTAGAAGGTATTGATTATTTTGATTCGCTATTTTAAAGAAAATAAGCAAAGAAAGATAAAATTGATCTGATCTAAATTTGAAAGTAAGTATAATAGTGATTATGTTAATAGTGTTAAACTCTTGAAAGAAATTGCTACTCTTCGTTTCCGTAGTGCAATTCCATATAAGAGCATTAAACAAAGAAATAGTTCAAACTATTAATTTTCTTTTTTGACTGTATTGCATGCATAGAATTTCTGAATTATTTAGAATATATAGAAATTCTGGAAGATAAGTTGTTGTAGGTATATCACTCTATACATCTGGATAATTCATTTCAGTCTTGATCCCTTATATTTTCTTTGGAAACACTTGAGGTCTTTCATCTCTTTATTGCTTCCAGCCAATGAGCCCACTGTATCATCATCATCTTTTCACTTTCCTAAGTGTGTCCCTTTGAACATGGAACTGTTAAATTCCCCAATTTTAAATCAACTCAGCCAAGACTCCAAAATGTATTGCTAACTAATAATACTGCGCTGCATGAATGTTACTAGATGTCTTTTACAGCTATTTTCCATTTTGGTCTTCTACATCTCACCATAAATTCTAGAATTTTTACTTTTTGTGGTTTTCTGATATGCATATGCAGATTGATTTTTAGAGGGCATTTAGCTGCTGTACAAAAGGAATAAATGTTTACATTTTGAATTATACATTCTTGCAATTAGATATATTCAGTTCTCATTTTCGAATTCCTATTACTGAATGGTAATAGATTTAACAGAAGTAAAGCAAACCCAATCATTTTAATACTGCATTTTCCAATGAAAGCTTGCTGAAATTCATTTTGGTGGAACGTTTTCCTCTTAAAAGAAAATTTTGGCGAAACCTAGATGTTTCTTGGAACATGTTGATTTTGAAAAAGTTTTCAACAAAAATGTTCTGCAATTGAAACGAGTAGTGTTTCTAGTATTCCTTTTAATTACACTTTTCATTTGCTTCAGCTTTCATATTATGGCACATTCAGTTTAACATTTTTCTCTGTATTAGTGATTAATTTATATTATTCCCAGCATTAATTACAAATAATAATTTAAAAAATGCTATTTCAATATATGCAGAATTTTTTTCAAGGAAAAAACAGATTTTGAAATGTTAAGAACTTGCAGGAGGTGGATATCTGTTTCTAGCACTGTAACACAATACTTTTCCCATTTTTTCTGTCTTTTTTATTGTTTTCTGCTGTTACACACTGGTAAAGCAGAAGTTCCATTCCCGTCTTGGTAAATGTTACGCAGTTATGCATCTGCTTACACTAAGATATATAATAATTCTTTTAACGATAAGAATTAACAGCATATACAAATGCATTCAGGATTGATTCTGGTTTTCAGTCTGATTGTGGTTTTCTGTCTATACCTACATATTGTGAAGCTTTATAAATGTAGCATTTACTTTAGCTAATTCACCTAATGTCCTGTTATGACCTGAACACCTTTTAATCAAGGCAACAGGACTTGAATTCAATTGAAACATTAATAGATAAGTAGAAATACTGCTCTTCCTACAGATAGGTACTATTCTTTTTTCTGTTACTTTTTTTTCAAGACTCTAGAAATACACTTAATATTTTACTTGCAGTTCAGCTTAACATTTAATCAGTGCTTCATTTTGATGAAACATATTTTCAATGGGACAAGAACGTGTCTGTGTACTGTCCTACATACAGATGTTTTCTAAAATCTAGATGAAAGTTATTCAGTGTTAGAAATCATTGTTTGTTTAAGGATATGGGAGATTACAGAACGTAAAACAGATTAATGTGAAATATTTTTCTATTACTTCTTCCTTACCTGTTTTGTAGGACTGTTGAAAAGGCTTACAACTTTAAAAGTAGATGATAATCAGCTTACAATTCTGCCAAATGCAATTGGAAAGTGAGTATAAATCTCATGATTTTCAATATTAAGTAAAATGTGTTTTCCCTTCTGCTTGCGGAATGTGGGTTTTTTAAAATAAAAAATGAGACAAAGATGTACTGAATTATAAAATAATTTCAAATTGTGTGCCTAACACCCAGCTTATAACATTTAAATTTGGAGCAACACTATTACTTCTGTGGACTCATATTGGTGTAAGTGATAAGAAGATGAAATGTATCACATTTTCCAAGAAAAAGAACAAAGATATTTTTCTGCATGAATCACTTGCAATTTAGATGATTAGAGCAGCAAAAGTAGAAGAAATAGAAGTATTTGGGGGGAATACGTCTGTTTCCATAGCAACAGCCTGTACTTGATGCTGAAAAGAAAATGGCTGTAAACCTCATATGTAGGAAGATTTCTTAAAATATTGAAGTAGCATAAATGAAAAAGTCATGACAATTTCATAGGTGCATACATCAAAATGTGAAAGCATCATATAAGTAATCTTATTATGAAAAGCACTAATGATGCCCTTTAGCTGTCATTTTGTCAGATATTACATGATCACTGGTGCAAAATTCTGTCTTGTACTGCTGTGTGTCTTGAGTTTATTGCTAAATGAAATCTGCAATTTATTGTAAAATTCAAGGCAGATGCAAACCTGTCTCCAAGTATGGAAATAGGTGATTCTTTATATTGTTTCTCACTATACATATTCCTTTCTAGCAGAAGATATCTTTAACATTGATATTTTTGTAGAATGCCTCTTCCTCTACATATTTTACTTCTGAAATGCTATATAAACTGATACTTGGAAAAAATTTCAGGATACATGGTCCCCGGCTGCCTTCTACAGCTATAGCTCTAGTGTTTTCATCATCCTCCTTGCACCAGTGGTAATATTCATGCAGAAGAAACAGTTCAGCCTAACTAATAATTGTCTAGTGTGACTGAACACATGGTTATGCCATTTATACGAGTTCTGTACTGTCAGCATGAAACATTGGGAATGGGGCATCTGTGCACTTAGACTCTGTGCCTTTGCTCTCAGTGCAA